AACTCTCTAAATTATCAACACATACACACACAAAACATTATAGACAATATAATAAAAGACTATTATAAAAAAGAAAAAATCAATATAACAGAAAACATAATATGGTAATATATCAGGTGAAAACTAAGCATGTATGGCATATAAATAAAGGTAAGTTGATTAACTCCTCAGTGAAAGAAGAAAATCTCAAATCGAATCATAAAACAAAATTTAATTATATTTTTAAATTCAAGAGAAACACCTAGGGTAAAATAACTCATAAAAATTGAAAATTAAAGGATGAGCAAAAGCCTGTCAGGCAAAATGCGAACAAAATGATAAAGGGTACAATCCACTTTGATGATCTCATCATTATGGATATCTATGAATCAAATAACCTTGTGCTAATGCAATTAAAGCAAAAGTTACAGGAAACACAAGAGGAAATAAAGACACATTAGTTGTAGGAAATTTTAACTCCCTTAACTCAGTTTATGGCATAGCAAGTGAATAAGAAATGTTTGTCAATGGACGATGTAAATAATGTAAGTAATAGGTAGGTATAATTGCACGGAATTAAGTTCCATGACTTCACATTCTTTTCACGTACTCATAAAACATTGAGAGAACTGGCCATATTTTAGGACACAAAACCTTAGTCTATTTAAAAAAATTAGACAGTAAAAATAAATAAGAAGTGTAAATATGGTAAAGGATGAGTAAATACAAGCAAATCAACTCATTGACTATTAGAAACAAACCAATTCAGTAAGGTGACTGGTTGCAAAATTAATATGATGAAATAAATAAATACCCTTCCTATATGTAAGCAAAAATCAATTACAAAATGCAATAGAAGAAAATACTAAAAATGGCAAGAAAAAGATAAAATACCTAAGAAAAACTTATGAAGAAATATTTAAGTTCTATATTTTTTAAAAATCAACTGCTATCAGGTCACATAAAAAGAGTTTGGGTAAGAAGATGTAGCATTATAAAGATGTCAGTTATCGCTAATGTAATTTATTTAATAGGATCTCAATAAAAATGTCATCTGAGTTTTATTTTAATGTAGAAGAAATGATTACAAAAATCTAATGAATTTGACTCTAGAAAGATAAAAATTTCTGCATTGCAAAACATACACACACACACACACACACACACACACACACACACACACACACACAGAGTCAAAATCCAAATCACAAAGAAAGCAAAATGTTTGTGGTATGTATTGCATATATAGGTCTAATTTCTTTATTGTATAAAGAAATTATATGACCTCCTATAAACTAATGTTTAAAAATCAATAATATAACGTAAGGTAGATATCACATCAAAAGAAATACAAATGGCTTTTACATAAAATGCTCAATCTTGCTCTTCACTTACATAAATGCAAGAAGATAATCTTTTCTACCTGTAAATCACCAACATTCAAATATTTGATAACAAACCATAGATAGAGAAGTAGAGAAGCAGGCCTCATACTTCATTGGTGAGAATATAAATTAATACATCCTCCTTGGAGAGCAATTTGGCAAGATCTATCAAAATTCCAGAGACACATACCATTTGATCAAGTAACTCAAATTTGGGGAATTTATTCTACAGCTATGCTTGTATGTGTATAAAACGGCATCTATAAGGTAGAATCAGTATAGCATTGCTGATGTTAGCAAAAGTTTGGAATGAACTAAATGTTCAGGAACTGAGACAAATTAAAGAAATTATTGGCAGTCTAATCCATTTAATGGAAGCATATGTAGCTCTTTATAAATGCAGTACTGTAAATATAGTGATGTGGAATGAGCTCCAAGATATATATGGATATGTATGTGCAGTATTTTACATACACATGTAGTATTTTACACACACAGACACAAACACACCAAGCACTAAGGTACAATATGTAGTATACCTAATGTAGTTCCAGCTGTGTAAAAAACATAAGAAAAGGAATATATATCTCATACATGCTTGTGAGATGCAGTGGTTTTCTACAAGGAGAACTATGAGTTTGGAGAACAGGCTTGTGAGAGAAACTTGTTACTACACACTATTTTGTACTTTCAAGTTTTGTATGTGTTCATATATTACCTAAGAAAAAAAACAAATCAAACTTTAAAGAAGTGTTTAGTATCTGAAATAAAATCTGAATTTATGTTTGCTTATAGAGAGAACTGTGCTTGTAGAATCAGGTCTCTGAAAAAAGCAAACTGCTGACTTTATGCAGGATCTGCATTTGACCATACCTACTCTACGCAGAGGCTGTCTCCTTAGTCCTGACTTCATCATCCCTCCCTTGGAAGGTTTCACTAAGTTCCTAAGGGCCCACCTGCTTCTACTTCTGCCTCTGAGGTACTTTTTCCAAAGAGCTTTACCACGGTCTACCAAAGCGGTAGGAAGCTTTCACAAGTTTGGGTTCTTGATGGTTACAGTTGGTGGAGAAGGGAGACCTGAGAAATATTTTTTTTCTGACTACTGGATATTAATGACAGTATTAATGCAATTGAAAAGGCAAAATCCGAAAACAGTTTTATAGATAAGGTCATGAATTTATCTCTTACTTGATTGAATTTGAGAAGATGGTGAACTTTTTAGGTAGTTAGAAACTTGAACTTAAGTTTTGGAGAAAGATTAGAAAGAGGCAGGCATGAGGGTTTCTGTTAAAATTCTAAGAGTGGATTTTTTCTCTTATCTATAAGACGGGAATGTACAAGTGGGATTAGCAATCTTTAAAAGTGGTATGCCAAGCATCTGAATCCTTTCCATCTAATGTAGTGGGACAGGAGTGAGCATGCAGAAAGATGGAGGCAGTCGGGGCACTGGTAGGTGATATGCAGTGGCTCTTGCAAGGCAAAAGGTGAAGATTTGTTGACTTTGTGCTGTTTACTATCTTTCCCAAAAGGAGGAACGTGAGATAAGCCCCAGCGTTGGCTCTCATACGGTGTGTCTGGGGAGTAAAATGTGACAAAGCCAGTACCTAAACCCCTGTTAAATGACTCCAGTGCATGATCTCCATGAGAAATAGGTATTTCTCAAATGAGAGGACGGGAGGACCTAACAAAATAATAAATTTTGTAAGACAGAAGTAGTAATTGAAAGGAGTAGGAGAAGAGATTAATTCAGCATCATGAATCCAAGGTAAGAGAGAGTCTCAAAAAGGGATGAGCTGTTTCATAAAAGCAATGGTGCATGAAAAAATGCACTAACAGAACAACATAGCTCCATTTCCTGATTGCCAACTGCAATTACTCCTATCCCAAAAGCTGTATGAAAAAGGTAAAGCATTTTTAACATAGCACCAAGTAGTCATGCCACATGATTTGTGTTCTCCCCTATTATTTTGTGTGTATTTGTCATAAGACCTCACATTTTCTTCCTTGAATTTTCATGCTTTGGGTATTTGCAGATACACAGAGTCTCAGCCTCGCTCCTCTCCACCTGAAAATACGTGTTTCTCTAGTGATATGACTATTACAAACTTTACGGAATGAAGCAGTTTTTTGTTCTATCATGAAGCTATCATTTTCCATTGATGCCCTTCATTGCCCTCTATCTAACATATTCTGTTACCTTACCAGATAACCTTAGGCCTGATTTTTTTACAAGTATCTACTCAAATCTCACCTCTTTAGAGAAGCCCCTCACTTTCATCTTATGTGAAGTGGCCTATCCTAATTACTCTATATCATATCACCCTATCAATTTTCTTCAATGTTCCCGTCACCAACAATACTTGCTTTGTTTATTTTCCTGTTCATAGCTTTTCTCTCCTATGAAAATGAAAGCTCCCTAAGTGTTGACACCTTGTCTGTCTTGTTTGTTGCTACATTTCTGGTACCACTGCTCAGCTTACTGTAACCACTAATAAATATTTGTTGAATGAATAAAGAAACCAAAAGACCATTTAGCTATTAAGGGTGTTGACCAAAGAAGATAGAGATGATAACTATTTTCTGCACCACCCTAAACAGCACTTTCTGGAGCATAACCTAGACAGCCACCTACATACATTCTCAGTGGATGGGATAAGAGTCATCACCAAAGGGAACGACCTACTGTAGTTGCAAAGCGAGATCTGAAGTCAGGACATAATTAAATAGCATTAACTTTTTGGTGAGGAATTTTAGAATGCTTACAATGATCAAGTCCAAGACATAAATTAATGTTAAACCTATGAATGGGTTCCTGAAGGCATTGGGAACAAGAAAAACAACTTTTCATGTGTTTAACATTTGGCAGTTTAAAAAGTGCTTTCATATACCTTATTTTATTTGACTCTGTTACCTGCTTGAGTTAGACACATATTATTCCCATCTTACAGATGGAAATATGGAGGCTTACAGAGACTAAGTAACCTATACAAGGTCATGCAACTGCACAACTGGCATTAGGGTAGTCCCAGACCCAAACCAGGACTTTTGATTTCAAATTCCTTGTTTTCTTCTATTGCACTCCATTCATTGATTTATTTAATGTATATTATTGAGCACAGACTGTTTCAGGTACTGTTTTAAGTGGAATGTATAAAATTTAGAAAGTTGATCATCTTTGTCTTTGTTTTTTCATACATGAACTTGGTGGAAAAATAAGTACATTAGCTGCTACCTTTTCCCCACCCGGCTATCTCCTGATGCAACTGCTGTTTCTAGAAACCTGAAATACATGAGATAAATCCCCTCTTTCTGCAGTGCAGTCCTGCCAAGAGGTGGAGAATAGACTAGATAACCTTGGCTGGCTCATCTCTATCTCCGTGGGCGGCCACGGCACAGAATAAAGGTGCATTCTCGCATGTGGGGGTTGCGGAGTGGAAAGGAGGACAGGCCTACTGGAGAATGCTTCCGTAGGAAGGCAGCGCCTAGCTTAGGAGGGCAAAAGGATCTTCCAACCGAGGTATTCAGACAGGTTCGACCCGCGGCTGGGGGCGGGGTTCCTGGCGAGAGGGGCGGGGCGCAGGGCGCGGGACGCGGGGCGGGACGGGGCGCGGGGCGGGGAGCGCCGACGTGGCAGCCGCAGGGGCGTGCGCCGCCGGTGGCCATCTTGGAGGCGGGGACGTGCGGAGGGAACTCTTGTCTACATCTTCCTCGTCTTCCTGGAGCCATAGTCTCAACTTCCCGACTCCCTGTCCCCTACTTTTCAGCTGCTACGCAGACACTCTCTTGGGTCCCCAGGTGAGCATCAGCCTGGGAGCAACGCGCGTGCATGCGGACGGCGGCGGCTCGGGAAGCGGGCGCCAAAGCCAGGCGCCAAGGGACGCAGTCCTTGCAAAGTGGGCGGGCTGGCCGGCGCCACGGTAGGCGAGGGTCTTTTCGGAGCCCCAGTCGTTCATTCCTGGCATAGGCTGTGGGATCATGCAGGGTGCATCCTGGGAACTGGTGCGCTTCTCCACACAATGAGACCCCACCGCGGGTTGCACTATGGGTGCGGTTTGGGGGCTCTTGTTCCGGCACTTTGCTCTTGTCCGACCGAGGCCGGCGCCCCTGGTCATTTGGCTCCACCTTCCAGTGCTCTGGCCGCAGGGGAGAGACCAGCGGCTGGCGCCTGCTGACCTTAACCCTGCCCAGCCTGGCCTGGAGACGTGGCATATCCTGGGGGCAGGCCACCGTCTCCAGTAACAGGATTTCGGCCGCTCCCGCCTTGGAAACTCCTAGGTCAACAAACCGGGCCGGTAATGAGAAGTAGCTTACTATCCTCTAGGTTCCCTGGTCGGTAGTACCTGGTGCTGCTCCAGGGTGCTTTTGTATTCTACTCTCTGTTCCTGGGACCTGCTTCAGGCAAGTTTACGGAGTAGCCCATATCCTAGGTTGGCAGAATTTTATCCAAGAGAGTTTTTGTCATTCAAAGTAGAGTTTTTAAGAGCCTGTACATTTCTGCGAACATGACACATTTTGGCATTCTAGTTTTTCTCCTGTACAGCTGCTATTTAACTCAGTGAACATTTATGGAAGTTTATTTTGGCATCAGAGCTGAGACTGCAGAGACATAACTCAGACCCTGCCCTAGCATTCACTCTCTGGTAGTACAGACCATCTTTTTCACCAGTAGTAGTACAATACTTGCTTGTAGTGTTTTTACGGTTATCAAAGCTCCGTTATCCTGTTTCCTTGTATCTATATAAATAGCCATCCACTTTAATGTTTGTACATTAATTTACGTTTTGTGCCCAGACTTGAGCATTAAAACCTTTACCCACTCTGACACTTCATTGTTATTTTATCACAACAGCTTTTTTTTAGTAGAAGGTATTACATTTATATATACACAATTTACCCAATATTGTCTTTGAGCCAGTTCTCAAATAGTAATGCTTTTAAATACTGAAAAAAAAAAAAATGACCATTTATGTCATGCTATGGGTTGTATACATTGTACAGGTTCCTTTGCCAAGGTATTTAATGTTAGGGATCAAGGTTATTATTAAATCTGACTTCCACTAATCACTGTAAGGATTTGGTAGCATCTGTAGAAGGAAATGAATAACTAGTAGAAAAAATGGGACGATGAAGAAGAAAGAACTTTTGCTGGGAGTGGTAAAAATCCCCTGAGGGCTGTTTCTGCCCCAGGTTATCTACCTTTGGTATTTTGGTACAGAATGAAAGGATTTTGCCTCCCTGGATCTCTGTTCTCTACTTACTGCCATAGATCTTTCCTCTGCATTCGCAGCCAAACTTTTGAAAGTGTTGTGCCCATTTGCCTTAACTCCCACTCCTCAGTCCAGTTCAAATTGG